CCCCAAAACCCCAAAACCCCACAAGGCCATTAAATCGTCTACATAAATTATGAAATTAAGATTAAAAATATATTATCAGGGGTTCTTTTTCTAATAAAACTTTTTTTCTCTGTGGCTTCCATCTGATGAGGCAGTAAATACCTATCTATGATTTTAATAATTTGGTTTACTCTGATAATCTGCACTCCCTTATTAAGTATATTTTGCACATTAAATAGGCTTAGGGTAAGTCTCTCCAATTATGACTCCGAATTATTCTTAAGCATTCTTTGGCATTGTCCAGGGCTCATGTATGTATTCAGTTGGGACATTTCTCAACTCAGGAACCCAAAGCTTTATGAATTCTCCATCCTTATCGTGGTCTCTGGATTATTTTAAAACATTAAATCTTAAAACCTTGCTTGGCCCAATTCCTCCTGCAAAGTTCCAAGAGGCATAGTTGCTTTATACATCATGATCAATTAATTTATCCTCGAAATGATAAGCACCAAATCTCCAATCTTGATTGAGATCTAAGACTAGATAACTTGCTACTATTTATCTCCCTCTGTTTGACATAAAGCCACTGCTATTCATTTCTCTCATGAAAGCATCAATCAAAGGCATTCCTGTTGTTCCTTCTCTCCATCTCTTGATTATAGCAGGGTTCGTGTCCCACTTATACATTGAACTACCTCTTTCAAAATCATAACCATATACCCCGAATATTTTATTTCCGTACTTCAGCGCCCAAAATCTGCACCAATCTCTCCAGAAGACCTCATCTATGAGTTTCTTTGTTGATTTTTGATATAGTGGATTCTTAGCTTCGTACTCCTTTACTTTATGATAGATATATCTTGGAGATATTGATCCAACTGCCATCCAGGGACTGAATCGAGAAGAACCAAGTGCTCCCAATAGCTCATTTCTAGTATCAGCATAATGACTCACTGCATTTGTTTCATAGACATACTCCTTGAATCTCTTTAAAGCAGCATCCTCTCCTCCAATAAATTCAATCACAGATCTTTAATCTTTACCTTTGCTTATCTACTCCTAGGTGAAGCCAAAATCTTCTAATTTTGGCATATATACAGAAGCTTCGACAATGGCTGCGTTAGGGTTTAAGACAAAGGGTAATTAGTCTTTCTTTGGATCAGGAAACAAAGGTCTGACATTTACATCACTAGTAGCTTCTCTAAAAGAGGTGTAGACTCTTGGTAATTGATTAATCTTAAAGTTTAAATCTTAAACATGGTAAACTGATGAACCCCAGAACTTTTGGAATTTCGCATCAGCTACAGATTTCTCTAGATTCTTCTCAACGTTCTCTTCTTCACTACAGATTTCTTTTTAGTAGACAACAATATTCTCACAGTCTTTATCAATCAAGTTTTTTATAAAATCCTCAGGCTTATCATTTGACACTAACAACTTGCTTCCAATTTTCTCTAAATTGTGCCTGAAATTCTCGATTGATTCCATCAGGAACCTCTATCTAACTAAGCCACATTTACTTGTTCCAAACTCCTTTACCTTCCTGCCATGGAACCTAGGGTCAAAGCAATAGACTGGAATAACCTGCTTATTCTTTGCTGGGTGCTTGATTGCATAGTTAATGATAGGATTGTCATGAAGTCTCAAATCGTTTCGGAACCAAAGAATAATTCTCGACATTTTAATATTAGAACTATCAACTTATTATTCGTTCTCTTCAACAATTAATAAGTCCTGCTCAGTATTATAAATAACTCTAGGTTGCTCCTTTTATTTCCACACTTGCTCCAGTTTTCCCCAGTCATTTTAAATCTCTTTTTATTCTTCAAAATGCTCAAATTTCTATTATTTCTATTGCTTCTTCTTATATACTTTTCTTTCCATTAAATATAGGTATCGAGTCTTAAAGTTGATAGAATGATAAATTGATACTTTTTACTTAAATTATAGATAATTTAACTTCTCATTGATTAATAGCTTAATTTACGACTGCGGGGTTTTGGGGTTTTGGGGTTTTGGGGTTTTGGGG